TAAATAAAATGAAATAATTCTTAAAAAAGAAAAAGCAGCAGCAGCAGCTAAGAGGATCTAGGATGCAGGCGAGAAGACTATGGGCCATGCCTTGCTTTTGTATGTCTCTTCCCTAGGAATGGTTTTTATATTTAAAGGGTTGTAAAAAGAAACAACAGTACTTTACAGATATAACACATGGTCCACAAAGCCTATAATATTCACTTTACAAAAACAAAACACACTGCTGATCCCTGGTTAGGTGAAAGAAAAGGAAGACCAAAGAACAGCCCATCCCAGGGCTGGCAGTGTTTCTGTGAGATCAAGTGGTCCACTGGCTGGAGATTAAGAGGAGTGAGAGTTTGGGGAGATGAGCAGACAGGCATGCAAAGTTCCTCGGTGTATGGCTTGCTAAGAATCTAGATCTTGGAGGACCAGCAGGTGGCATAATGGTTACATCGCTGAACTCCCACATAGCCAACCGCAGTTTAAGTCTGGACCCGGTGGCTTAAAATTCATGCGAGGTGCGTGTGCGCCTAAAATCCTGAGAAGAGAATGGAGGAGGAGGGATTGTGGCATGGCCATCCCTGCTGGGGAGTGATTTCTCACTTTCTGTCTGTCTCTCTAGAGAGCACATGTTCCCTATAGCAAAAGTCTCTTAAAAAAAAAAAAAAAGAATATAGACCTTGGGGCCAGCGGTGGTTTGGTGGATGGTGTTGGACTCCCACATGGTTGACTGCGATTTGAGCCCCAGATCTGATGGCTTGCTTGTCTCTCTCTTTCTGGTGAGCATATGTGCTCTATGGCAAATTTCAAAAATAATAATAATTTATCGGGAGGCGGCAGCGCAGAGGTCAGTGGGCCGGGGTCGCCAGTTGCTCTGCTTCGCTGAGCTCGCTGTCTGCTCCTGATCCCCTAGCTCTCCACCTCCGGGTGGTACAGGCTCTGTGGGACATGGCGACATCGGGCTGCAAGGATGGCCCGGGCCAAGAGGAGAGGTTTCTGTACTTCGTTTACGGCAGCAACCTGCTGACGGAGAGGATCCACCTCCGAAACCCTTCGGCCGCGTTCTGCTGCGTAGCCTGCCTGCAGGATTATAAGCTTGACTTTGGCAATTTCCAAGGCAAAACAAGTCAAACTTGGCATGAAGTTATAGCCACCATTTTTCAAAGTCCTGGCGATGAAGTGTGGGGAATAGTATGGAAAATGAACAAAAGCAATTTAAGTTCTCTGGATGAGTAGGTGGCTTCTAATTATAAATTAAAACATAATTCAGAAAGTAGATTATATGCAAAGATGTATGTTTGTGTTACTTCTTCAAAACCACGTACTACAGACATATTCTTTATACTTTATAGAGTCAGCATAAAAGGTATAATAACACGAGTTTGCTGAAGTCTACAAAGGTCACACTTTCTAACTGAGATTTGGTGGGGGATATTTAAAATCTCTTATGTAAAGATGGAAACCCTTACTTTTCACTCTACTTGTTTGTCTTTTCTGAACATTTCTCCTAGTTTTTCATATTGTGAAGAGGCATAAAGATTTTTGTAATGGTTACATATTTTTATCGATTTCGAAAGCAATCTGATTCACTTTTTAAAAAACAGTTCCTTGGGACCAGCAGATAGCATAATGGTTACATTGCTGGACTCCCACATAATCAACCGTGGTTCGAGTTCTGGACCTGGCAGCTTTAAACTCACACTGGGCGCGTGTGTGTGCGTGCCCAAAATCCCAAGAGGAGAATGGAGGAGAAAGAATTGCGGCATGGCCATCCCCCCAGGGGGTGATTTCTTGCTTTCTCTCTGTCTGTCTCTCTTTCCATTGGGGTTATTTCTTATTTTCAGATTGTAAAAAGAAACTGGGTTAGGAGTGAGGCAATTAGGAAGGGGGCTGTGAGGCCCTGGAATGCATGACACATGGATGTGGACACTTAAAGTAGTTTTCTTGATTTGATCTTAAGTATCTTGCTCTGTGACAAATGATAGATTGGAAGTCGACTTGATGGTCCTGGTGAATTGCTCTGTCTGGGATTTTTTTTTTTTAAATCAGCTTAATAAGAGTAAGCGAACTGCAGAGGGAGTTGGTAATAAAGTTTTGAAAATTGGAAAAAAAAATAATTTTTAAAAAGAATCTACATTTTTTTTTCTTTTTCTGGAGAGTGTTTTGCTATAGGGTGCATGCACTCGCCAGAAAGACAGAGACAGGGAGACAGGAAGCAAGAAATCACCCCCCAGGGGGGATGGCCACGCTGCAATCCCTTTTCCTTCATTCTCCTCTCGGGATCTTGAACATGCATGCGCCCGGCGTGACTTTAAGCCACCAGGTCCAGGACTCAAACTGCAGTCCTACTACATGGGAGTCCAGCAACATAGCTATTATGCTAACTGCTGGTCCCAAGAATTTACATCTTATCCTAATGACTTTGGGCAGCCATGCACATGTTCAACCAAAAATGGAATATAATCAGATTTCAATTCTATCCAGTATATGAAGAAACCATTCTATAGGCTCAAAATTCCCTGGATGATTGCTGATCCCTCACCTGATAAAGCTAATCATTAGGTCTGAACCAGAAACCTGTCTTCACATTGACTATGTGCCTGCAGGGCATTTGAAACTCACACCTTGACTGTTAGTAACAACTGTAGGAGCATCTTATGATAGAGTGAAATGGGAGCCAGGGATCAGGAATCCTGGGCCTAGGCCCTGTGCACACACTACTCCGGCCCTGTTCTCCTAGCTTGTGTGTTTTCTTTTCTTTTTTTGGGGAGAGGGTTTTGCTATAGGGCGCGTGCGCTCGCCAGACAGAGACAGAGAGACAGAAGGCGGGAAATCCCCCCCCAGGGGGGATGGCCACGCTGCAATCCCTTCTCCTCCATTCTCCTCTTGGGATCTTGGGCACACATGCACACACGCCCAGCGCGAATTTAAGCCACCGGGTCTGGGACGCGAACCGCGGTCGATTACGTGGGAGTCCAGTGATATAGCCATTACACTAACTGCTGGTCCCTGTGTTTTCTGACAATTCCTTTCACCCCTTGAGAGCTGAATGGTGTAGTGTTTGTTAGTTGCATGGCATCAGCTTGCAGGCTGCCTCTATTCATCTCAGAGTCTGTGGTTTGCAACTCTCTCAACAAACTGAAGTCACTGGGTTGGGGGTGGAGGTAGGAATCTCATAGAAACTTTTCCTCCATGCATCCTAGTTAAAGATCCTGGACTAGGGCCTGTCAGTGGTATCATTATTAATTAATTTATTTTTACATTTTTTTGCTGTAGGGCATGTACGCTCTCCAGAGAGAGACAGAAAATGAGGAATTGGCCCCTTAGTTCCTGGGGGGAATGGCCATGCTACAATCCCTTCTCCATTCTCAAGATTGTGGGCACATACACATATGCACGTGCCCAGCGTGTTCTCTAAGCTTCTGGGACTTGAACTGCACTGTTGGCCATGTAGGATCCAGTGCCTTAACCACCATGTCACCTGCTGGTTCAGCATTGATATTATTCTTAAAATGCCCCAGTGATACCCATGAGTTGGCAGATCGAGAACCACTGCTCTAGTAACTTAGAACACAGACTCTGGGCCAATAATCGTGGGTGTTCTGTTGGTTAAATGAATAACTATGGACAAGTAACTTAAAATCTTTTTTTTTTTTTTTGGAGAGATTTTTGCTATAGGGCACATGCACTCGCCAGACAGAGAGAGACATAGAGACAGAAAGCGAGAAATCACCCCCCAGGGGGGATGGTCACGCCGCAATCCCTTCTCCTCCATTCTCCTCTCAGGATCTTGGGCACACACGCACATGCGCTCGGCGTGAGTTTTAAGCCACTGGGTCCGGGAAGCGAACCGCGGTCGACTATGTGGGAGTCCAGCGACACAGCCATTACGCTAACTGCTGGTTCCCAAGTAACTTAAAATCTTGATGTCTCAATATTCTCAACTAAATTGTCTCAACCTTTTGGGTCGTTGTAAGGATTAAATGAGGCAATTTCTCTGAGACACATGACAGCCCTTGACCTCACCACATTTTTGTGCTTCCTCTTTTGCCCCAGGTACCTCTGACTCTCATTCTGTTTCAGCACTCTAGTGACTGCCCTCACTTTGAGTGGCTAATACAGGATTTCCTGGGGAAATGGAATGAAAGTATGAGTTGATTTGGGTGCAAAAGATTTTTAAATCCATTCATAGTTGTTTTTTTATTTCACATTTTCCATGAACTGTTTGAAGGCCCTAGTCCAGCCAGTCATCCTCCAGGGCTAGGATCAGGCCTTACTTTATTGAGTCCATCCATCCCTCTCCCTAATCCCACCTGGGCTTGGGGGCCCCTTCCATGTTCTCCCAAAAGACCCCGTGCACACACTACTCTGGCACCCATCAGTGCATAGTGTGTTTTTAGATTTCCGAATTGGTCTCTTACACTAGGCCATGAACTAGAGGTCTGAGAACTCTCTCTCTTTTAGAAGGTGATCCATAAGTACTGGGTAAGTGGAAGAAAACTGAGGTCTTTCACTTCTGATTATGCAGCCCCATTAATATCCACTCTCGACAATCGTGCATACCCACAGTGCCTTCCACAGCAGCGGCCCGATGGGCAGGAACTTGAGGGGGCCAGGAGCCCTACTGGAGTAGCAGACCCCTCTCTAAGATGGTGCTAAAAGGCTTGGCTTTATCCACAGCTCACTATTAGTTTTTGTTGTTTTTTTTTTTTTTTTGGAGAGGTTTTTGCTATAGGGCATGTGCGCTCGCCAGACAGAGAGAGAGAGACAGAGAGATAGAAAGCGAGAAATCACCCCCTAGGGCGGATGGCCACACCGCAATCCCTTCTCCTCCATTCTCCTCCCGGGATCTTGGGCACGCACACACACACACACCCGGTGTGAGTCTAAGCCACTGGGTCCGGGACTTGAACTGCGGTTGACTACATGGGAGTCCAACGACATAGCTATTACGCTAACTGCTGGTCCCACGATTAGCTTTTTAAAAATTGTTTTTTCTTTCTTCTCTTCCACAGATGACCTAAGTTTCCTAAGAACACTAAATAAGACAATAAACCTATAGAAAGAACATACTAAATTAAACTCCTGGTCTCCCACTCCTCCTGAGAGTCAAGCTGAGCTGCTTTACGCAGGTGAGCATATCCAACCCCACAAATAACCTCGTAAGGTAGGGGTTCTAATCACCACTATGGTTTTAAGTTGAGACAAAACTTGGATTTTGTTGCACATGAGAGAGATGACAGCATCACAGGTTTCTTTATTTTTTTGGTGTATCCGTGTGGGAAGAAAGTTGTACCACTGAGCCTCCTTCAGCTTCTGGGAAGAACATATTTACTAGCCTCTATACTTTGTGTAGGGGTCTCGATACCTAAACAGATATTACTGGGGCAACGAATAAAGTAAGAAGCCAGAACTATAGACGTTTACGAAGTTCAGAGTGACTTCCCCTGGACAAAACAATAATCTTCTGTCCAGGTATCTTCCAAAACACATTTGCAAAGACACTTCCGTGACGCAGTTTACAATCTGCTTCTTTGCAGCTGCGAGGAAATCGAGAACCTGGTGTAATTATAACAACTGCCTGCTATTCACATTTCATTTTAACAGTCCTCTGATGTCGGCACTGTTACAACCTGAATTCTGCATACGACAGAATTGAAGCCTAGAAAGGTTAATGAATTTAACCATGATCACTCAGCAAGTATGGCTGCATTGGGCTTTGAACACAGGCATTTTGTCTCTAAGGTCACTTTTTACCAGTACATTCCACTGCCTCTTTTCCCACATTTGTGAGCGTCGGAATGAGCACCTGGGAGCTGCGGGGTGGGCGAGGGTTGCTGGTGTGGCTGTGCAGGCTGTTTAGTGCACCAGGGCATCCTGCTAGGAAGGTGGAGGGTAGCTAGAGTCCAGCTCACGCGGCCCACTCCTTAGCATGTGTGGCTGCATCTGCTAGGGGAAAGGATGCCTTTTAAAAATTTGCATGAAAATACATTTCCCTTCTCTAAGGACTTCTTTTCTTTTACCTTGTTCTGCTTTCTCAGGTGCCTGCCTTTTCCTAGAAAAAGGAGAAGAAAATGACCAAATTCCAGGTGAGTTGATTTTCATTTCTGATATTTACCTCATTTTTCAGTGAGAAGACATACTCCCTCCCCCCCTTTTTTTGTGCCAAAAATAAAGAATGACAACAGGCATATAATGCCCCTTACGTGTCAGGCTCATGCTTTTGTGTTTGTCTTTTCTTTTTTTTTTTTCCCTAGTTTTAAACTTGCTTTATTATAATTTTATTTCACAAATAAAAGCATAAAATAGAAATAAAAACGATCTCATATTTTATTAACTCACTTCCCTGGTGTTTTGATTATTGTTTTTCATGCACATTCATCATTGTACTTGCAATAATAGATTAAATTTTAATTTTTTCCCCCACTTAATAGCACCTTTTTATCACTTAATATTATTTCACTGAACTCTTGCCAACTTTCTTTAAATTAGCTTCTAAAGTTCCGGAGGATTCATACAGTTTTGGAATATCAC